CAGATTAGCCTCGTTCCAGGTACTGTTGAAAACTATAGTTGGTTGGACGACTATATCCCCTTAATATTCGCGTTGTTCGGCAGTGCCCACGCACGACTCCTCCATGGTGGTCGCCTAACGATTGGACTACTAGGTTAGCTTTCAATGAGACAGATTCTCAACTTCAATCAGTTTGTATTAAATATGTGGAAAAGCCTAACCATAAAAACTGTAATGAATCTATTCCAATCTACGATGTCAGTTTAACAAATATTTTACTGACCGAAGTAGTTTGGAAATTCATTTATAATCTGTATTTTCAAGTTTAATAATAAATTACTAAATACTCGTGTTTCCCAATTATCATAAAAAGATTAGTGCGAAGCTATATCACTTAACAAAGTAGATGAATCTCTTGACAGACCCGTTACAATTACAGATCGTATACAAACTGTACCTATGATAAATGACCAGTGAAACGATTGCTACACGTTTGTCACAGAATTTTAAATATACATTACTTGGACTAGATAAAATTGAGTAATTAATACTAGTGTGGTAAATAATTTAATTAACCTAACAGATTTTAAATTTGTCATGGGTTGAATTTCATTTCATCATGATTCACTTTCTGGAATACTGAGAATTTTATTATGAAAAACATGGTAGTCAATAATTCTTCTACTGGTTCTATTTAACCTCAGGAAGATTATTATAAATTTAATTAACACTTTACACCTACTTTTCGGTCCAATAATCAATCCAAAATTTCCCCTGGTATTTGAAACATGATCAACACTTTTGTTTTTAGGAATGAGTCTATGACTTTTTTTTCTGATTCATGAAAACCCATTCACATTTAACTTTGGTATTATTTTCAATTTTATAAAGGTAAACAATAACATTTTTGTTTATTCGATTCTATTTGCTTTTATAAATCTAAATTCTTTGTTATTTCCAATACCAATCGACATCTCTATATCAACGTATTTAAAGTACATGAATATTATATATATACTTTGGGTAAAAATAAGTAATGGAAGCAAAATAATATTGTCTCCTTCATTGTAGATCAGATAGCATATTCATAATGTAGTGGTGATCATAGTCAACCGCGATACTACTCCACACTATAAGTTATTGAGTAATAATGCAAATGGCTAGCGGTTTTAGTTACGTAAATTTTAGCCAAAGAGCAATGTGGAGGATTATTTAGTAGTAAAGGGATACGCAGTGTATCAATAACTGCCCGGCTCCACGACATCCTTAGTTCAATGGTTTAGCAGAAAACCTCGGCCGCACTTTTACCAGTACCACTACATTAGCGAGTCTCTTTCTTTTTCTCTTCCCAAGTTTATTTCACTGTATTATACTCTTTAAGTAATATCTCCAAACACTAATCTTTCCGATTACTGCTTATACTTTTATTACCTCTACCACTACGGGATTTTAATCGAGCAATGCATCTCTGTGCTAATGTGGTGTGGCAACCCGAACTGATGTACGTACGTACGAAGTTCTACGTTGTTACTGACTGACATCAGCAAGTGCAAGTAATTTAGTTCAATATCGTAAAATGCGGCGTTCACGTGCCCACGAAAGTCCAGTTGAACCCTTCAAACCCCTGATCTTCCGAAGTCATTTAGTGAATAGAACGTCATCAAAAGCACAGTTTCACTGAAGAAATGGCTGTCGTACATCCACAGGAATTGGAATCCGGAGAATGGGTAGTCGGACGATAGAGGTTGTTGATTGAAATGACTACTCCATTCACAGTAGGCATGTAGCCTTGGTGATAGCTAGTAAATAAAGCCACCTCAATTTTAATTCTAATCATTTTACAGCCAATCCTGACACAATAGATGTTTTCAAACTTCAGATATATAGTTTCAGTTCCGGTTCTAATGATTTACATGCTAAAAATAACTTTAGACAATTCCAAATTCCACAAAGACAGAAAATCAGAATAAAAATTAGGAAACCTAATAAAATTGCGAATGAACCCAGACTACATTATAGACAAAAGAGAGGTACCACAGGAGAGGTTTTAAAGAGGACCCTGCTTGTTCATCGTTATACCCCGAGTCCCTAGACAATTAACGCAGTCTCTCTAGCAAAGATTTTACTTGGTAGAAAAATGTGAACACATTTAGATATCTGTTACCTGATCCAAGCCAATCTAATCGACATCATGAAGCGTAAAGACGTTTGTTCACTGTGGGTCAAAAATACTTGCTAAGGACTATCTTGACAAACATACCACATTGATAGTTGGTCAGATCGCGGAAATGTAAGGAAGTGTGGTTAGGTTCCAGTTGTCTCAGTAGTTTGTTTGCGCCATGCCAACCAACTTCGATCAAAATCGAGACCCGAAATAGGATACCCATATGTTCCGTTGGATACCTTTGAGCAGATAGGCCAGTTTCTGTGAAAGCGAAGAGTGGAGAAATTGAAAGTACAGACCAATCGTGCGGTTGCAGATTCAACGAACTCGCTCAGACCTGTTAGCGGGATTAATGCACGTTCCGTGTAGGATTGTTGGGGCTCACCGAATGGCTATTCCTTAACAAATCAGCACTAGAATATGCTTGTAGAAGACTAGCACAGTATGTAAAGATTATAAATATACTGATATTCTCATTGTGATTACCGCTCCCATCCAACCTTATCATTTCGGATATATTTACGCTCTTGTGTAACCGTGATCTGATTTGGGACCTTGTGGAGTGAGCTGTGTCTAAGAATACTATGTAATAAGGGTAGCTAGGTCGTAAAGAAAGAATCCATAACACAAAAGTTGCAAGTAAGTAATAGAGATTCGCTATAACATGACCGGTGAACAATAAACAACCCGTATTCTAAATTAATAGTGACAAGGTTAAACGTGGAATGTAATTTAACAATAATATAAGTAACTTTAACGTGAGGAACTATTCTCTCTTCACAAATGCAAAGCGATTGCTGGTAGGATGTCAAAACAACCAATAATTTAATTATAAATATGTCGATGAATCGAGGACATTCACTCTGGAGATGTGTTCAACAGCAAAGACTTCGGATCAACACAGACTAATTGGATAAAACATTCACATACCTAACTAAAGGGTGATATTGTCTCAGCAGTAAAATTATCCCGATTCTTAGAACGGCAGTTGACTTTAATCTACAAATCTGTAGTTGGAAGCTTTGACCTCATTCATAAGATGACTTGATTCCAAAATTAGCAAAATCGAATACAGTTGATAGCTTCACTGGTTGTCTTGTTTGACGATAATATTTGGGGACGTGTACAACCGAAGCCATTTAATGTGATCAAGCACAGTATTCAACGAAAGGATGAAGTAGAAGATACATAAATCACAATCTGATAAGCATTATTCTAATATTCCAAATCAACCCAATCCCACGTTACCAAGACCGTTAAAAGTGGCAAACTACATAGGAAAGACTTGCGTCTTGACATTTTGTATTCTTGTGGACAACGAGGCTAATCTATGTGCAACAAAACTTATAACTTGATTAACCAGACTTGAGATTTGGTTTTGTAATAATCAATTGACTGAGAAAACCTTTGGAACCAGGCTACTATTACAAACTAAAAGCCTTTAACATCTCTAAATTCTTTAAAAGGACTCGCTAAATGACTAACAACTGATGACGATAACATGATTTAGAACATTCAGAAGCGCGCTGTGCTTGTCGAATGCAAGATATTCTAAAACACTAGTGCCTTAAGACGTATTTTCATGATCAGAATTTAAGTTAGCGTATATTAGTTTACTCATTCAAAGTTTCTTTAAAACCGAGTGGTTGGTAGGATGAGAAATCCCTTTGGACATGGTTATTTTTCAACAATTCACAGTATCTGGTTTACTCATAAGTTGTCTGGTAACCCTATTGAAGTATGAGTAATGCAAGTAACAGTCTAATTTCTATTTCTCCACAACTGAGACATATCCGCTTGAGTAACAGATATACTAAGAACAATTAACAAGTCTTGCAATCAGAGAGGAGGGAGTCAACTTTGATCAGGATTTTTTGTTCGTTTTTACATTTAAAACGCGCTGTAAAACTTGCTGGGACCATACAAAAAACCAAAATCTCAATTTACTGAACAATTTTCGGTGGCTTAATATTTTCAATTTTATTTAATACCGAATAACTTTTTAATGAAATGATGAGAAAATTATACGTATGCAGTGAAATGTCGTGGAAAATGTATTGAGAACCAGTTGATCAGAAGAGTTTTATTGTTAAAGATAAGCCTTACCATTTAACATTGTCTTTACATCTCATTTGATATGCAACATAAAATGCAAGTAAAAACAAGTTTAAGTATCCGCTTTACCTAACTGGGCATTTTCAGTGATTACTATTATTATTCACACTTTCAAATGTGCTACATTGTGATTCAAACTTGTTTAAAAACTGTAGATACAGACCAGAGAGATAATTAGATATCTTATGTACTACGAAATGTCTTGATAATAATAAGAAACAACGCTCCATAGTCTGAGCTATCTGTAGATGTGAACACCATATTTCCTCATGTATGAATGGATTAAAATTAGATTGATGCTTGACCTTATTTTGATATTCAACACTGAATATTTATACCCTAAGGCCCAAGTATAATAACCCTGTTTGTTAGCGCTAATAAAATAAGTGTCTGAAGGAGAGAGTTTGACAATCGGTTATTTCTCGTAACACCTACAAGGTGCAAAATCCCCTTGATATTTAAACAATATTTTATTCAGATTTGATTTAATAAACTAAAGACATCGTAGTACGCTTAACAACATTAAAAACTCTTACCCAACATAATTTGCGAATCTCTCACACAGTAAGAGATTGGTGTTATTTCTCACTTTAATATGAAGATACTTAACTGAAGTGATTACATCTCAAAATTTACTCTTTCGTTATGATGGGATCACTTTACCCTTAACTTATTTTCGCGATTCACATTACCAGAGTTAATAAAAAGAACCTCCAAAAAACAAAGGAATCTAAAAGTCGTTACGAAAAATTTCTCAATTCATTTTTCAAATAATATCCGAAGAGTAAATATATACAGTTTAGTATGGTGTTACGAAACTAATTATTTAGAGTAGTGAATTACCAGGAATGGAGATAGAAAATTTCAAACAAAATTCTTAAAAAATTTGATCTGTACAGATATTTACATTATTACGAATGCCGAGTTTTCCATTCAGAATACTTCTTTTGAGCGGAGTCCAGCATCGATTCCAGGTGACTAGTCACACTTGAACGGTAAGAAATAGGCCCAGAATTTCCTGTGTTAGGTAGATGCTCGGATGAATCAGAAGAATATGTGTCTGACTTAGTCCTCAAAGATGGATCAACACCAGCGGCGAAGTGGGCTACCTTGGTTGTACGAAAACGAACGAGACTGGCAGCAACACGATCTAACTTATCAGCTAGTTGTGGGGTTGTTACGGGGAAACATGCCCAGAAGTGTCTTAAGAGTTCAGCGGCACTAGAATATAAAAGTGACAAATCTTTAACCTGTTCTGGTGTGAGTAGTGGCGGGCCACGATCGACATCGTCACCAGCATGGTGTTCATCAGAGACTTTCGGAGAGTTCGAAATACGACTGTTTCTCCCTGGTTCGAACAAACGTAAGGATGATTGATCACTAGTTAAGTCACATGGTTTCGTACGTTCACTATTAAGTTTACCACCGATGAGACAACCACCAGGTGAGACATCTGCTAATGCTTGTTGAGATTCAAGTGCAGTTAAAAGTGATACGCTTGGCTTTTTCCCCATGTGATAAGCAGCTACCATCAAATTCTTACATTTCTTTACTGACTGCTCTAGTTGTAATCCATAAAACGAAGTATCTGTTTGCCGGGTAACTGATAATGGATCCATTAACTTTGTAGCTTTACCAGCTATGCTAGGGGTAGGACCCTCCAGATAGTCAGTTACACAAGTTAGGTCTAACTGGATTTCTGTAGGATTTTGATCTTCTACCAGCTCTTTAACGTACACGCGGTCTTTTAAAGGACAAGAGTTAAGCACATCTTTTGAATTTTGAGATGCATTATTAGTTGATGAAGATGCGTCATTTGAACTAAGAGATTTCAAAACGAGTATCGAATGATTGTTGAAACGACGAAGTAACAACTGATTTGCGGATAAATTGCTCGGGATTGCAGGTTCGTTCAATGTATTCTCTCCACTCTGATTCGAGACTGAGTCAGCTGACTTTATTTTTGTCGGATCAGATATTTGATCGATTCCATAACCTTGTCCTATATCGTAATCGGTAAGATTAGGTAAATCAAGATGGACATTATTTCGGTTGACTCTTGATTTCCGTATATCACTGAGTAAAAGTTTATCATCAATACCAGCGCAATCAGCAAATATATCATTTTTCGGAAGGTGAACACGGTCACTAAATAAATAGAAGTATTTATTAGCACCTACATTTATAATAGTAACAGAAGTGACAAAATGAAAAACTGTAGTCATATTCTACAACTTGACTATTCATAAAGATGAAACAAATCAGAGACGGTTTCAGAACACTTAGGTATTTTCAAAGTGAAAATTAGTGAGTGAGCCTCATCAAATTAGCTACGTTCGTAAAATGAGAAGCGAACAAACTATCCCACAACCACAGGAAAAGCACTAGAAATAACATAAATTCCAAATGACAATGATTGTACTAGTAAAATATTACCGATTGATCATTAATACAACTTATTCACTGATATTATGAACGCCGTTACCATGATGGTCATAAAGAACAGATAATTTGAGAGCCATGGTTTACAGAAGTCGAAAGTCAAATGTTGGATGATCTAGAAAGATAAATATCTAAGATTGTTAGGTTAGCTTTTTCAATGGTATCCCGGTTAAACTATGTTGAGTGAGATTTGTTTTATATTTTTCCATCAGGAATGTTTATCAAAGAGCAGTAAAAACACAAACACCTCAAATTTGCTACAGGTCATTCACATCTTATTAATATTAAGAATAACACCGTGTTGATGCTTGAACACTGATGTGCCGAAATTAGGGTGTTTTCGAAAAAAAACTCCAATAGCTGTTTTATCTGTATTTTCTTTACTGAAGTTTGCCGTAAAAACAGAGACCAAGAAGACAATCGACCATCAATGTTACATTATCTGTGACATTTATTTCGGTTTACTAAAGCAAGTGGTTACTAAAACACAATGATCAATGAGAATATGACTAAAGAAAACACGGCTAATAAATATCTCGCAACAACTGACGTTAACATCGAAAAATACTGTGTGGCAGTTTCAGTTACCTGCAATCACACCAACTGTTTGCAGTGCACTAACACCCTGAGCGAGACAGCGATAGGTGTATTATATTAATAAAAGGTTTCTATTCTACTATTCAGTTGTAGAAGACAATACGATGAATTATTAAATGAGGTGGTAAAAATGACATTTCCATCTCACCTTAACGGTGTTTCAAACGAATCGATGACAGTAATCGAATTTAATAAATACAACTCGTGTTACACAATAAACCTTAATGGTTTTATTGGCCTTTCAGTAAATAAATCATTAAACAAAAGAAATAATCCATTACTGCTGGCTTGACATTTAAAGAGTTAAGTATAAGTTTAACAAGAACAAAAACTTACCGGTGGAAATAATGAGACTGAAAAAACTTTATCCAGAAGTCAGCTTCAGATAATTTATCAGGGACCATTTCTCGATGTTTATCACGTACAGTAGGGTAGGCTCGGAATATTGCATTGATTGTTTCGTGAGTAAGGTTGTATTTTATTCCATTGGCACCATCTGCTTCAGGCTTGATATCGCTCAAAAGACAACTGGGGACTCCAATAACTTGAGGTCGGTCGTCTAACTGGAAACTTCGTGAAATCTGACTAGTAGGACCATTTGATGGATTATTATGAGATAACACATTTGCATTGTTAGGAACTGCTTCTGATGTCCCAGTAGTTCCAGAAGCTTTGTTATTAGCTGTGGAATTATTCAAACACTGGGATGAATTAAAGTTATTATGAGAAAATTCTGGTCGAGCCCAAAACTCTTCCGAGCTAAGTATACCACTAACAACTAATTCTTTGTATAAGGCCAAAATCTCAGGGTTTGATTCGAGGAGTCGAAATTTTTCCTTTAATTCGGCTTGAGCCTAAAAAACAAGAAACTATGTGAGTACCCGTTTTAAAAAGCATGTTTAAGACGTAAACAACTTGGTAATAACTAATAAAACACACTGAAATGAGTTATTTGAATGAGACTGCAACGGATGGCCTTTGGATATTCGACGAGTGATACTGAGTCTATAAAAACTAGAATTGTCAGTGTAATAAACGAATAGATAAAATAATAAAGCACCATACGCCAAACTACTCAATTTACAACACTTCAAAAACAACACAGAGTAACGGAACATAAACAGAAAAAATATTTACATTAAGAACGACACATATCACGAAGGGAAGATAAATGACAAGAAATAAGATACGATTTTGAACACGAGGAACGAATTGATACACCGTGGTTAACCATTATTCTGAACCATGTCAATTAAGGTCTCTAGTCACTAATTTCTACTAGATCGGTGATCGTGTCATTTAACTTCAAAACTTGAGTCGGCACTTAGATTAAAAGCTGATGTGCTAACATACTGGTTTTATGAAATACTCTGGTCAAACAACTTCAGTTCTAGGAGGTATCGCAAGCCATAATAGTGCATTACTTTAAATGGACAACATACAAAACAGCCATTTTAGTTGTTGCATATTATCTAGAACCCTTTCAGATCGATACTTACTAATCATACGTACCGATCGAATAGTCAAAGCCTGAGTGTCTAAATGGTTAAAGGACTTCCAGAAGTCAAGAATCGTAATCACTGACCCTTGATCACTGGTAACAGTAGCATCACACTGACAGCAGACTATAAGAATGACATTGCAATGATAAAAAATGATAAGGGATAAAAATGATGGATACGAATTTTTATGTTTTAAGATTTGAATCATCATCTGTATATTTCGAGTTACAGTAAAATGTAAGTGGTCAATATGTAGATGATTATGACGGGTCAACTGACTGAAATTACTTTTCACCAACTTTGCCATAAATGACATTCTAGAAACAGCTATGAGAAGAAAACATGGGGGTTGTGCGGATCTTTTGTCCATAGAAAAACTTTTTCACAACACCATTTTTCCATTTGTATGGCACATACTTTTTTGGTGTCCTGTTGTACCAAAATTTCAGAGTGTTGAATTAATAAATTTGTAGCTGATACTGTCGAACTGATAATGTACGTGGTGCGAACAAATTAACATTCAAGATATAATCATCTTTCGAGTGATTGTGCATGAAAACGTACCAAATAAAAACCACTATTTACATTTGAAAAACAGCCAGAACAGTATAGTTATTTAAGGGTAAAAATTAAGTTCATCAAACGATCAACCACCACTTTTATTAACTCTGTCACAATAGTAGTTCCTTTATTCTTTCTTTTTTTGGAGACAACCGGTTTAAAGTGAAACCTAGAGAAACAAGATCTTCAGTTTTCAAACCTTGACCGAGTTACCCATTCAGCGTAACAACAACCACAGCTGTTTACTGTCCAAGATATCTATGACTAGTTAAATTCATACGTTAGTGGGAGGTGGTTGAGTTAGTATGAGTTGGAGCAATACGAATGACTAGATGGAATGCTCCATATCATCTAGTTTGGTTAGAATGTTAATCACACGCTTTAAATCAGAAGTTAGTGGAAATAGTATAGTGGGTTTATTGCTGTTCTATACGACATATTCTTTAGGAGAAATGAAATTTTATTATCGTATATTAATGTGTGGAAAGTGTTATTCACAATTTTTGTTCACGATACAGGATACTTTTTTCTCCATTCGTCCACACGATTATTCGATTTGATGTATTCTTGGTGCCATAATTTATATACTTTTGTTAACCATATGTACGGGATTTCATGTTCCACCCGGTGATGGAAGCTCAAAGAAGCGAAGGGGACTTCAAAACGGTTAATTAATTGAAAATGAATTACCTAGACTATTCGATCAGATTGCCGAAAATCAAACCAATATCCTACTTAAGAAGTGGCATAGTGATCCATTAGTTTTATTTCAAAACGTGAAATGAGTTAATCCACTAAACCCTTAGAAACAATTTGAACCATAAGAAACTAGCCATCATCTTAAACGAATTAACTTAAAATAATCTTGAAGCTTTGTTCCTGGATATGGAATGGAACTAACGACAAAATGCCCTAAAACCAGATGCAGAATCAGAGTATCTAGACAAGAGGATAACTTTAATTCGAATTATGATAACTGTAACATTACTGTTGCATGGTTTGTTTTCAGTTAAGCAGTTAATCATATATGTGGTGCAACAGGATTACCGGATGTTGTATAGTCAACAAGTAAAATTTACTGATGATCGGGGGCACCAATCAACTTACACGTGCGAATGTCGACCAGAGTCGCTTTCACGCAGAACTCTAAAGATTCCCGGTCCAATTCACCTTGCGAAAACTATTGTTAGTATTTCTCCAACTTCTCATTAAAAAACTTCTAAAGCGACGCGTTGCACAGCAAACCCTAACAATCTGTTTTAAAAAGAACCAACACATATACGGACAAATCAACCGGTCTCAGGAGTGAATTGTTCTATACTACTGTACGTATATCAAACGGCCAGTGGAGTTAGGTGGAAAACATTCTTCAAATGTTGAGAATCATGTTTCTAAGCATTAGGACTTTTGAAGAATCCTGAAGTTCAGTATAGATTTCAGCAAAATAGTTAAGCAAATCGTTATAGACTTACTATCAGATGAATTAGAAAAGATATGCTCAGCACATACAGACACTGATCCTGGCAATTAGATAAACCACAATATGTCCTAGAAGACAGAATCGCCATGTGAAATTGTAGACTACTGGTGGAGTTTGCAGCATACAGTTGGTGGATGTTTCTTATGAGATGAGTAGTTGATGATTTGATATAAGTGGCGATTCACATGTGTTGCAAGGGACCTTTATTAGCCTAACAAACAATCAGTAATTTGTAATCACGTTATTTATTGGCTGCTGTGTTTTTTGAAGCCATGATTGGTGAGTAGCAGTTAAGACTAAATTAGTTCTTTCAGATATTAATATTAATGCTGACGGCGGGAGCAATCACTACAGAGGAAATAAAAAATCTAGTAACTTTAGGCCGACTTGACGAGTTAGCTGATACTTGCTAACCAATTAATGCTAGAAACAAAAGAATTACTAGAACGGTAATCGATCCCTTCACTAACTACATTCTGTTCACACATTTCAAACCCAAAGCAAACAACTAAGATATGCTTGGTGAATGCTTTCTTTGACAAACTCCAATCGTACTATGGTGAACTATACCACTTGAAGTCCTTGACTTTCAGACTTTAAATTAACTTCATATTAGATAGAACTATTCTAGTACTGACGTATTCTACAACGAATCATAAACTGACAGCAAAGATTCCTGCGATTCAATTATAGAACTTTTTCTTTCAGTCTTTAACAAGGGTAAATACTGACACAATAACTTCCATAGAAGTGAGACTGGTTTTCACAATGTTTAAAAGGGTGAAATCTATATCTGAACTAAACTGTCGGATCTTTAGTAAACCAAATAACATGTAATGAGGAATTGAGGAACTATGGTTATTGAGGCTACTAATTATTATACCAGGACCTAGAAAAAAGGCACACGACGGAAACTAAACGAACCTTGTCTTTAAATTTGGGTAGCAAGTTTTGTAGCATTGCTTTCACGTTGTTACGCATTTCAAGCTGCTTCTCCCTGCCTCCAGGATCCGAAAACTGGAAGGTGAAAGACTCCCCACTATGCATTAATAACTGGAGCTGAACTTTTTCCTTTTGGTCCGGACTAATACGCTGTATTCTAATATCTTCAAATTTAGCACTGATGCGAAAACTATCAGATGTTTGGTTACGCCAAGCCACTCTTCCTGAGTTAACATACAGGGTCCCATCCACTTTCTTATACCGTACATGCTTAACCATGAGAAGTACATCTTCTTTCTGCTTCAACATGTGACCAAAATACGTGCGACTTCAAGCCTCCAGTATGTTCACCTCTGGCACGAAGGTACTTTTACTATATTAAAGTGGGATTTGGAAGAGAAAACAATGAAATAAAGTGAGCCAACGACTAAAAATGCCCTTGCATCCAATGATGAGGGAAATCAAGAGCAGTTAGCAAATATATAAGCGTGAGGCTTGAACAACCTGACCGTTAGAACCAGAGCGTATTTCAAATGAGCTAGATGCGACGCGTTTTAAAGCCGCGCTATTCTATGTCCACTATGAATGACATTCAAGACCGCTTAAAACCGATAAGAAGTAACATTACATCATTTTGCTTGGATTGTGGCTGCTGATGTTCTATTTGACATACTGTGCAACTGGATTTATTCATCTAGATGACCCATATTTTTATATCAACTTGTAAGTTCGAATTCACACTACACTATACATTGCACCATATGGATTTGTCAATTCCATGTGACAAATTTGACACAGTCATAGTCTCTTTATCAATGAATCATTGAAGCCACAGAATAAAATGTACTTCCAAGTCCTCGGGCAAATGTGCTGAGAATTCTATATTGTACCAAAATATAATATTGAATAAAGCCATTAATAATAATAATAATGGTGAGTAACCCACTGAAGTAGGTCATCTTGTTCACACTGAATGTCGTTAGTTTTAATGCATACTACAAGATATGTGTAAGGAGGCCACAAGTATTTGTCGTTTGACATAGTCTTAACCCCTTATGATCGAAATATATCGATCTAGTCAAGTCAAAAGTCAGAAATGTTTCAAGATATGTTTGATAGGTTATAGATATATCGAGAAGTGATCAATCTGAGCTGGTTAGCAGTCGTAGGAGATGTGAAGCACGACGTAATTACTCAGGTTCTGGTGCATATGCACGAATGAGCGCCTTCGGTTAGGTGAGTTAATTAAAATTAATGAGTCCAGTATTAAATGTTGAATGCTTACACAACTATTGGGTGAATTTATCCGCAACGCAACCATGTAAACTTAATGTATCGCCCAGTGCAATAACGGTCATCTGTGTGTTCAAGTAACCACAGATTTTGCCATTTCATAACTTATTTTTAGTTAAATAACTAGATTATGTTGTTAATTTTGCTTTGTTTTTTATTTGTATTCGCCACGTCTGACTACGTTACACTGTATGTTCACTGCCCTCTAGAATGATATCTCAAGTCATAGTCAGTTTAATCACATAGTTTGTTGTTTCCAGATAGCTCATTAGTGCCGGATGTTACTGAAGAAATGTTTGTTGTACAGTAGATTATGTTTTCATGAACAACTGAGTGTAGTCTTCAGTCTGAAAGCAGTATATATGTATCCTTCGTATTCTGTTAGGTAAGTTCAAATGGCCTATATTTTGTGTTTTCGTTTTATTAGCTGAATTATGCTCATTTTACTCCGTTTAGCAACATTTCTGTGCAAATGGAACAAGAATTATGACACTTGCTTAGTTTAGTATTCTTGGTTGCCGTTATAATTTAGATTAGTCGATAGAATTATAGTATACTTAAGTATAGTGCTTAAAGACTGTAACGAAAGAGTATACCGATTCAAATCAGTCTGATTAAAAATAGGAAAAAAACGTGCCTGATGCTATTGCTGTCATATATTATAAGATAACTTTAAGTACGTTTGGTGTTTAATTGTAGACAGTACGTCTAACACTGTTCATGTTTCAAGATTATTGTCATTAAACAATTTCCCCAGCAATAACATCGGCAGCAGGATAGCTAAGTGTCTGAGCTTTTATTTGCCTGCAGAAGATGAGTGTTCTGTGTTTCAATTAGATGCAGCTGACTGTGTACAAATGTTAAGAATCTTTTTGACATCTTGAACTTTTAGTTTATCATACACCAACTCTGCTTGTATGTCTTCCTGTTAAAGTAGACGTAGATGCATGGGAATACTTAAATGAGAGCAAAATAATAAAAGCATTGAGATACGGTATTAAGTCCATGTTATGCTTTGCACAAGTAATAGTAGCTGACCTGATCTAATATTTATGAACTCAAGGTAAAACACAACTGCATAAATTCTTTGCTAAAAAACATGTAATTTGATTACTTATCTATACCAAATTTCTGACTAAATTCATTACTATTTTCTCATTTAGAATGCAACAGGAGTGAGATTTTACAGATCCTAAGAGCTGTTTCGCCCTTAGAACTATGAACCTATGAAACTGTTTAAGGGAGACCTAACTAACAGCAGACTATAAAAAGGATGCTGGGTGTCCATTTTAGTCTCACAACCACTTCCAGTACTTTTTTAGTTACTTCTTTTACCCTTTCATTTGGAAAAAAACAACAAAGACTGCAGCTTAAAATCACCAGTGCAACTTTTAAACGGGAATTTTGTTTAGACCTTCGTTTGATATTCCATTCTTAATGAAAGTTCCTGAGTAAATTTTTAAATCTAATGCTACTTTGTTTTATCTACTTAATCGTTGCAAGAAACTTGTGATATACGAGCCTCTCAGCATCTATTATTATTATTATTTTATTATTTGAACACATATATATTGGTACCGGAGTATGCCGAATATATATGCGCCACACAAAACAATGAGAATCTAAGAAGAAAAATGAGGAGGGTAGAAAAGAGGAATGATAATAATAATTTTTAAAAAAATCAATAACGAAGAGATTGGTGTAAGGTAGTGTAATAATCATAATAGCGATAGTAGGGGAACAGAAGGGTACAATCAGAAGAAATCTTTCAGTTAAGGAAGATACAACCATCTTTTATGAAGAAAGTAAATGAAGGTTACAGCAGTATCGCCACTGGCTTCTATTCTGAGCCATATCTGATAACGTCTCTAGCCACTGTGTTACATCATCTCAAGGACCCCAGCCAGAGAGTCGTAAAGGACCAACAGAAGTCAGCCCTTTACAGCTTTCTTTCATACCACGACACCATTTCATACACTGAACATCTCCCCGATTTTTACAACCAGTCCCAGTGTCAGCAAATAATGCACGACGTGGAATTCTCTGGGACGACATTCGCAGAACATGTCCAAGCCACCGAACTTGATGTTTCAAGATGGTGACACCAATTGCATCATCATCTTTGCGCCCGAACACACGATGCCGAACCTCTGCATTACTAACATGGTGTTGCCACTGGATGTCAGCAACCCTTCGGAGACAACGGTGATCGAACACAGAGAGTCGTCTAACGTCCTCAACTCGGAGAGACCAGGTTTCATAAGCATAGAGCAAAACTGCTCTCACCGACGCGTTGTAGATCCGACCTTTTACAAGCAGACTAACATCACGAAGGCGCCAAAGGTGGCCCAGATTGACATAGGCCACTCTGGCTTTCACTACACGTCCATTGATCTCATCACTCACACCCCCACCAGCACTTATGCAGCTACTCAGATACACGAACATCTCGACTACTTCTATCTGCTCACCATCCAGGGTGAGTACAGGATTGGAACCCATCCATTCTTGTAGAAGTACTTTGCACTTCGAAGGTGCAAAGCACATACCATACCTACGGACACTGATTGCCAACTGATTAAGTGCGGATTGCATGCCTTGGGCATTATCGCACAGTAAGACAATATCATCCGCATACTCAAGGTCGAGAAGTCTTTCTCCAGGCAACAGATCCACACCACCATTACTTACATTCATCAGAGCTGTTTCCAGAATGTCATCGATGGCAAAGTTGAAGAGGAATGGTGAGATTGGGCAACCCTGCCTAACCCCACTACTCGAATGGAACAATGGAGAGAGGTGGTTGTATGCCCTCACTCTGCCTGAGGTGTTTTTATATAGGGCTTTTAGGATGTTAATAAACTTCTCAGGCACACCCTTCTTCAATAGACAATCCCAGAGAACAGTCCTGTCCAACGAATCGGAGGCAGCCCTGATGTCAAGAAACACTATGATTGTTGGTCTGTGATAAGTATGGCGGTGTTCTAGCATTTGGCGGAGGGTGAAGGTATGATCAATACATCCTCGACCAGAACGAAACCCAACCTGCTCCTCGCGAGTCAATCTTTCTCGAGTTTTGAACAACCTACGAAGTATGACGGAAGCCAATAGCTTGGACGCAATCGGAAGTAGACTTATCCCCCGATAGTTGTTGCAGGAACGACGTGAACCCTTTTTAAAGATAGGGACAAATATCGACTCATTCCATGACGTTGGTACACTCTCTAATTCCCAAATCTTTGTGAACAACGTCGTCAATTCCTTAGTCAAAAAGTCACCACCATCTTTAAAATGAGCCGGAGGTAAGTCATCTGGGCCAGGTGACTTGTAACGCTTCAAGAATTGGAGTTCCTTGCGGACTTCCGCTTCATTTGGTGGATCAGTCGTCTCGGGCCATGAAGGGCAGGACAATCTGGCCGATGTTGCCGAAGCAACAGGCCAGTTGAATTGCCCTTCGAATAATTCTGCCCATCGTCCAAGACGTTGATGGATGTTAGTGATTGGCATCCCGTCATCCCCACAGATTGTTTCGCTCACACCAGACTTCTTGCTGCCAGTGGCTCGGATGAATTGAAGGAGCTTCCGGTAGTTATCAGATGCGACTGCTGCTTCCAGCTCATTAGCACTCTCCCAACACCAAGCTTCTCGGTCCTTACGCAAGCTTTGCCCAATTTCCTTAAGTAACATCCTTCGTTTGATGTCAAACTCACGGCTACCCGGAGTAGACCGATGGGCTTCAATGAGTTGTAAGGAACCAGAAGAAACCCAGTGTTTATAAGTGGGACGTTTTTGGAAGCCGCATGCCGCTTTACTCGCTATTTTCATGGCGTCATGCAATTGCAACCAATGCTCACCAATACTTCACGTTGGAATGGTAGCTAGCCTAGAAGCTGGCTCGGTTCGATACTTACTAGCAATAGAAGTTACAACCAGCTTGCTAACATCAATCAGTTGGTGGCGGTCACTCCGTTGGCCACTGAAAAGTAAGGTAAGATTGGCGCAGACCAAGGCATGGTCATAGTCCAGATAGGTACTCCAAAAGGAGCGGCAGTCTTTCACACAACCACGCCAGCGGTAGCTGATCGCAATGTGATCAATCTGAGTCCAGGTTTGGGATGCAGAGGGAGGACGCCAGGTGGCACATCGGCGATGACTTTGCCGAAAGTTAGTGCCAGCCAGAAACAGATTGTGGTCTGTGCACAGTTGCAGTAGACGGTCCCTTTTATCTGTCCTGCGACCAAAGAGTCCCCATCGGCCACCTAAACGACTCTCTTCTGTGCC